CATTTCGTTTTAAGAACTCCAAAGAAATAATACTCCGATACTTTTTTTATACCATTTACTCACTTCTGTTCTGTCTCCTGAATAGAAGTAGAGGAGTATCCCGTGTTTCCTGTTTAGTATTCGGTTTCCGGTTCCTTCTAAAATCTAATTCAACTCTATACTTCGAAGGTCTCCACCTGACATCTGATTGTTTTTCACGAATTATTCATTTGTTTTTGTCCTCCTTCAGTAGGAAAAAATAGATTCGCCTATTGTCCTGTCCATTTTGAACAGTAGTAGAGGTTTATCCCATGTTTCGTGTTCAGGATTAGGTTTTCAGTTTCTCCTAAAGTCTGCTTCAAATCTATATTTCTGTAGGTACCTCCACGAAATCGCTAAAGAAAGAGCATAGCTTGATGAAAAAGACACCAACCTTGCCGAAGACAAAATTTTATTGTCTAAATGCTTATGTTATTATTAAGAGGAAAGACCAAATTTTTTTTTTAATTATTTAAAAAAAATTTTCCTTCTTTTTAGAACATTCTAAATTTTGATTAAAAAAAACCTTGTTTCTCTTTGTATCAGCGGAACTAGTAAATAACATTAGCACGTTTTTTGTTTTTTTTTTTTGGTATGACACACATTAATTTGAAAAATCTTTCAAAAATATGAATAATTGTCAGATGTTATTGAAACTTTCAGAAACTATTCACAGATGATCGAAATTATTATAAATATATTTTTTTTATTAAAGTCATAACAGAAATATTTTTTTTATATTTATTACCCCCCCCCCATAACTAATTTTATGAAAACCCTAGAAATTCGATCGAGTCTAGTTTAATGATTACAATAGTTAAAAGCACACGGCCTTAAGGAATGCAAATCTTGTTTGTTTTTTTTTTAATTGGACCCCCCCTACCTTAAAATCAGCTCTGAATTGTAACATACAAAACTCAATAAACAAAGATATTACTTAATTTCAAATGCTTTTATTTGCTTTTAGTTGTTTTTATGAATATGGACAATATTTTCTGAAAGCAAAAAAAAATTTCGATGAAAAATGATTTTTTAATACAATTATTTGTTATTTCTTAATTATAATACCTTTTTACATTTCATTTTTTAAAGTATTATAAAATTAGTTAAAGCCGCATCAGGTTTCCGAAGTCTCCTTATGAGATAGATCTTTTTTTAGCGCGTTGTAAATTGTATCATTTTGACTAATCAGAAGATCAGCAGTAATTAAGAAATGTAATTTTGTGTTTATAATCAGGCTGTAATTATAACGTACGGAAGACCAACCAGAATACTATTAAGTTGGGTTATTTGAGTTAAGCATTGTTCTCCGCTGTTAAGGCCTTTACTTTTGCGAAACACGTGTGGAGAAGTTAATTTGATATTTCAACTGAGAATGGTACCTACAAGTATCAGTATCATCTTATGAAATTTATATGATCTTATTTTTATATTAATCTCAGTTATGACATTTTTCCATAAATGAAATATCAAAATTAATAATAAAATGAGAGAAAATACAAATAACACAGTAAAATGTAATAAATGTACATAAAATTATAGTATTTTATGTACACTTCTGATAAAATTTCATAAGAAAGGTACCTATAAATTAATTAGATACCTTTCTTATGAAATATGAAATTTAATCTTACTTTTAACAGTTTTATTTTAATTTCTTTATAATATATTTTTCATAAAGCATCGTAAACGTAAAGGTGAAAGCTAAGTACAAAAAACGAAACAAAAAATAGAACACTGAAAGTTTTCCTTAAAAATAACGAGGTAAATAATTTGTTCACTTAAATGTAAATTACTTCACTTTTCTCCTTCCGTAGAACAAATTAGTCTCACGGATCCGTCAATATGTCATTCATCGCCTGTCAAGTGACGCGAAAGTTTATGACTTGCTTTGTTTTATTTTCAAATTACATCTTTTCGGCGCAGAAGCTAAGTTAAGCTTTGTGCCAAATTATTTTAAATAAATATCATAATTTCTGATTTTCTTAAAATAAGTTTTGAAATAATGATAATTGATATGTAAAAGAATTTTAAAGTGAGATTTTCAGTTTTTTTATAAAATGGAAAAATTGTGTCAATTTTGCTGACTCAAAAAAAAAAACGATTTTTAACGAAAATTTCGGACGTGCTAGGAACTATTAAAAAATGTTAAAAAAATAACCCGAAAATACTTTCATCTTTCCTCTTAATAATAACATAAACATTTAGACGATAAAGTTTTGTTTTCGTCAAGTTTGGCGTCGTTTTCATCATGCTATGCTCTTTTTTTAGCGATCTCGTTGAGGTACCTATTCTAATGTCTCTTCCTAAAAGTAAGTTTTTTAATGAAAAAAAAATGCATTTAAAATGTTTAGGAAATTTCGTTTCCACGTTTAAGCAGAGAATTGTTGCTGAGATGAAGATATTGCGGAAGAATAATATTAGCCAGTATATAGCGAAATAGGAGCAGATAGGTTTGCCTACCACCCGTTTCACACTTCTCCCAAGTGTTTTGAACAGAAATAGATGTTGATCTCTTCTTTCCTGATTAAGATGAGGTTTCCAACGTCTCCGCCTTAGCTCTGACATTTTATTTATTACTTTTTTTTTTCAATAGGAATAGTTATGTTCATCTTTCGTACGGTTAACACCCTCTTCGCTCTTTTGAACAGGAGTAGATGTTTATCCCTTGTTTCCTGTTTAGGATTGAGTTTCAGTTTTCTTCTAAAATCTTCCCATTCTCTTTCACTCCCAGTTTCCTCATACGTCTTAGTGGCATTATCGCCTTGCTTGGGGGTAATTAGATTAAAAAGAAATATCAAATTTGAAACAGTTTGTGTCATTTATAAATGTGTACAATTACGAATTGAGTAAAAAGAAAACAATCAAAAATTGTGAGGTTAGTTGATTCAACCACAAGCCAGTTATTTAATGTTCAGTTTAGCATGGGGGTACCCAATGAGGTTCGAAATCAATATTCGTTATCAATAGTCGATTAATACATACATAATCGAGATGAGGATTACCACATGTAGAGGCGACTTCAGCTTTTTTTTTCCATGCGCTATGCACCGTCAGGACATGGGCGATCAAGGATCTCCACTATTTTCTAACCATTCTAATCAATGCAATAGTTGTAGGTTTGGTTTGATTTGTTTTGTTTTACGGTATATCAACCTCAATGTGTTATTTAATGCCGAGAAGATTTTTATTACTGGTAATATTTTTCTTTAAAAATGTATTGCTGGTGATATTTTTACAAAAATATAATTTGTTGTTAATATTTTTTCGAAAAATGTATTGCAGGTAATAATAATAATGTTTCCTTCAAAAATATATTGCTTGTACAGTGTAACCCGGATGTAAGAGTGTTGTCGGGACCGAAGAAGAAGTCTCTTATATCCGGGTTTCTCTTATATTTTATATACATTAACACAGGGTTTGGTCTATTTTGTTTAGGTAAGTATGGGCTCTAATTTGGGACCAGAGAAAAAGCTCTTATATCCGGGTTTCACTTATATCCGGTCTCTTATATCCAGTTAATTTAATTTTTTTACAGAAACATATTGTTGGTATTAAAACCTATTTTTTAAAATTTCATAGTGTTTTGACCTTAGTATGGGGGTTGACTGCTTTCCCATAGCTGGGACCCTAACAGGTCCTACTACGCTGGGTCAGGGTGGACCTGGGAACATCACCAATTAAGAGGCGGTCCCACTCTTCTCAAAGCCTCCTGATGGATGTAGTTTATCGTTTTACCTAGGACGGCAAGAGTTGCAATTATACTATAATTGCCAGTTCATTCTCTGCCATCCATTTATACGCTCCTGTTAGGCTAGTTTTCACATGCCAACGCCTTTGCCTTTGTGCGTATCAGCATTGCCAAGCCATCTTTCCTCGTTAAGTGTTACAGAAATCTCACCTATTTCTTTCTAAATGCAAGCGTCATTTTTGTTCCTATGTTCCATTAACCCACCTGCACACCCCAGCTTACAGCACATGGTCGTCCCTACGGCTAAACCAGTAGCAGAAAGTTTACAACGTTCAGTCTTTTAGAAATTGGTTGCCGAGTGAGAAATCGGTCATCACACGAAAGAACCCGAAAACGATATTAAACTCGATCCACACTGGAAAACGAGGATGGAAAGGATCCAGATATAGAGAACTTTTGTTGATTAATTTGAATTTTAGAAGAACTTTAGAACCCACCCATCGTAAAAATGCCAGTTACTGAAATTGAAAGGTTAAACCTCTATACCCTTGTCCAAAAGACCGGGGAGGAGTGTGAACCGGGTGATATGTTTATTTGGGATATCTTTTTTAATCCCTTCCTCCTGCAATCAAGGTGATAATGCCTCTAAGACGCAAGGGGCTACTGAAATTGAAAGGAAACGAAGGGTTTACTGAAATTGAACGGGAATGAAATACTTTCGGAAAAAACTAGAAACCCAATCGTAAACAGGTAACAAAAGGTTAAAACTCTACCCTTGTCCAAAAGACCGGGGAGGAGTGTGAACCAGGTGATATGTTTATTTGGGATTTCTTTTTTAATCAGTTCCCCAGCAAGAAAGCTGATAATGCCACTAAGTGCGAATAACACTGATTTTCCCAGATACAGGTGCTACGAATAAATCCTTTCTTTAGACTGTTGCTTCAATTCTACCTATTATCTCATACTTTTCAAGAAATCTTCTTTCCTCATGTGACATGCATGACACGCACTTGAGTGATCATGTCTCTTTTTGATTCATTATTGACATGGTAATAGGCTGCCATTAATTTATGCAATAGACTGGCTGCCAATCAAGGCTATAGGAGTCAGTCCGACTTGCATTTTTCTGGTAGCTTGGAGGCGAAAAGAAGGATTTATGTTTCCCAAAGTTGTTTGTGCGTCGTTGAATATAACAATCCTCAGTGGAATTTCGAACTCACTTCTTCGATTACGTATTACTAGCCGCTATCTATTACGCCTGCCGCACACCCAACCACAGATAGATATTGGATCATCGCAAACGTCCCTGCCCGATGAGAAAAATGAAACAATGAAAATCGGGTAAAGGAATGTTGCCAGAATCAAAATCATAGGATGAGTACGTGTCTGAGATAGATAGATAGATAGATAGATAGATAGATAGATAGATAGATAGATAGATAGCGAAAGAGAGAGAGAGAGAGTCAAAGACAGACAGATAGAGAGAGTGATTCATAGATATATAGAC